GGGTTGGGTTCCTCAAAATGCTGTCGTAAGTAAATAAATTGATTGTTGGAGAGTTTCTCAAGCTTTGCTTTGATGTCCTGGGTAGGGCTGATGAACTGTGGGCTAGACCCTATGGGATTATCCAGTGCCCCACCTCAGGAGGAAGTCAGGAACAGGTGGGGATGGTGTCCCTGGTGTTCCAGGGGGGAAGGGGAGACATGGGTGAATGAAGAGTCTCAGGCTACACATAGTAGTGGAATCAGAATCAAGTTTATGAGTTAAGTACTAAAGTATTTCCTATTTGATATGCTTCTTTTTAGCTTCTGAGCCCCTTCAACCTGCTCTCTTTGGTCTCAGCACATCCTACTTCCCAGCTTCCCCTCCACTGCAGGGTTCTCAGGCTCCTCTTGGCTTCTCTGCCCTGGCACCCAGTCATCCCTGATTCATTTTAGAGGGGAACAGTGCTTAGAAACTGACTGTGGGCCTGGGGATGACTCCTTTGGCAGAGTGCTTGCTGTACAAGCAAGAAGTCATGAGTTTGGATTTGTCATGTTAAAAAGCCAGGCATGGGCTAGACCATGGTGCACACCTTTGATCCCAGCACTTGGGAGGCAGAGGCAGGCAGATCTCTGAGTTTGAGAACAGCCTGGTCTACACAGAGAAACCCTGCCTGGGAGTGGGGGAAAGCCATGGAGTAATCCTGGTATTGGGCGTACAGGCAGACCCCTGGAGCACACATGCCAGTGGGCTAGTTTATTCCTGAATCAGTGAGTTCCAGATTCAGTTGAGACCTTATCTCAAAAGGTAGAGAGGTGGCTCAGAAGTTAAAAGCACTGGCTGCTTTCCCAGAGGTCCTGAGTTCAATTCCCAGCACCTACATGGTGGCTCCCAACCATCTATAACTGTTAATTCATGAGATCTGATGCCCTCTTGTGGTATACATGCAGGAAAACACCCATATACATAAAATATGTAAATAAAGAACTTATAAAAAATAGTAAGTTAGGGAGTGATTGAGGAAGACAGCTGAGGTTAACCTCTGAACTGTAAATGCATACTCGTGCACATGGATACACACCAAACAGAAATGGACTTCGTGTCACACTTTACACTCCCAGAAACTATGAGTAGCTGACAAAATGCATGATGTATAACCCTCTGACAACATTAGAACTGTATATTAATTAATACTTTAAAAGCCAGCCTGGCCGCCTTCCTTATTTGTACCTTTAAAACATTTTTTTCCTTTGAAACAGGGTCTCAGTATGTAGAAGGCTGTTTTGAAACTCACTGTGTAGACCATGATGGTCTTGAACTCGGGGATCTACCTGCTGAGATTAGAGTCATGCTCCACCATGCCTGACTATTTGAAACTTCGAAATTTTCCTTTTTTGTTTTGTTTTGTTTGATGTTTCTTTGAGACAAGGCCTTGCTAAATAGCTCCCACTGAACTAGAGTTATTTAGCCTCAAACTTGCAGCTGTCCTTCTGGTTCTGAATCCTGGGAGCTAGGATTATAGGTATGACCCTCCATGTACTGCTGCTTTTTTCTTTCTTTTTTTTTTCTCTTCTTTTTTTGTTTTGTTTTGGTTTGGTTTTTGTTTTGTTTTGTTTTGTTTTTCAAGACAGGGTTTCTCTGTGTATTTTTGGTGCCTGTCCTGGTTCTCACTCTGTAGACCAGGCTGGCCTCGAATTCACTCCCAAGTGCTGGGATTAAAGGCGTGCGCCACCACTGCCCAGCTGCTTTTTTCTTTTTTAAAGGAGATTTTAGGGCTGGAGAGGTGGCTCAGCAGTTAAAAGCACTGGCTGCTCTTCCAGAAGGCCTGGGTTCAATTCCCAGCACCCACGTGCCACCTCATAACCACCTGTAACTCTAGTTCTGAGGGATCTGACACTTTTCTGGCCTTTGTGGGCACCAGGCATACATGTAGGCAAAACACCTACACACAAAAAATTTTGAAGTTTTTTTAAAAAAATGAGATGTTACTATGTAGCCCAGGCTGGCCTTGAATTCAAGACCCTCCCACTCCGGCCTCCCAAGGAGTTCAGATAAAATGTCAGCACCCCATCCATCTTGTTTGTTTACCTCCTTTGACAGTGAAAAGCTGGCTTTCACATTCACCTCTCCTTTCTGCTTATCTTCAGCACTGGAGGTTGGATGATTCCTCTTCATTTTGTATCTGAAGTAGTTTCAGACTCAACTTCCTGGGGGTTGGGGTGGTTTAGTTCAGTGGTAGAGCACTTGCATTGCAAGTTAAAGGCCCTGGGTTTGGTCCTCAGCTCCAAAGGAAGGGGGCAGGGGACAAACTTACTAACTGTATCCAGTTATCAAACTCTGTATGTGTGTGTGCGTGTGTATGTTTATACTGTTCAAGGTGATTGTGTGGTTCTGGGAGGTTCCTTTGCATTATGGGAGACTCCCCCAACCTACCTGGACTTTTCTTTTGGGACATATGAAGTAACCCAGCCTTCAGTCAAGGTCGGCCTCACTTAGAATCCGCTGCTTGCCTCAGATGCATTCCAGTGGCCTCCTGGAGGCCCCGTTAGCTCAAAGAAGGGCTGCCTTACCATCATTGTTAGAGAGAGAGGAGATCCCAGCTTATCTCCCTATACACGAAGATTAGAACCTGCATTCATGGGGGTGCTGCAGCTTCACCCCACCTCTGTGAAACCTGCTGCAGATCGACCTCAGGTCCTCGGCGAGGCCTGGGTGTTTCAGAGGGTGGTAACTTAGGACATGAAGGTGACTCGGTGGGTAAAATCTGCTGACCTGAGTTTGATGGAACCCGTGATAGAAAGAACAAATTCTCAAAAGTCCTCTGACCTCCAGTGCATGGTGTGATGTGTATGTTCCCACTCTTACACACACACACACACACACACACACACACACACACACACACACACACACATCTTTTTGTTTGTTTGCTTGTTTTGAGATGAAGTCTCTCCACATAGCCTAAGCTGTCTGGCCTCTGTCTCTCAAGTGCTGGAATCAAAGGCGTGCACCACCATGCCCAGCCCCACAATTTTAAAATGAAAAGATGGTGGCCCAAAGTAGGGAAAGGGGGGTAAGTGAACAAAACAAGGCCAACAAGCAGGAGTCGCTTTTCAGAACCAGATGAGTGTGTCACCGCAGTGGGAGCTATGGAGGGATTTTACTGTGTCTACGATTCTTTTAGGCATCAGGAAGTCAAGGTCATCCTTAGCTGCATAGTGAGTCACATGAGACCCTGACTGACTCAAAAACAACAAAAAGATTACTTTAGGCAACTAAAAATTTTGAGTCAGGATCTTGCTGTGTAGCCTCGGCTGATCTCAAGCTCACGGTCGTCTTGCCTCAGCCCTCTGAGAGCCAGGGTTACAGGTACATACCACTCACTATACCTAGGTCTAGGATTATTTTAGGACCTCTGTGTCTTTATTTCCCAGCTGTCAAAATGAGGTGTAATACACTGGAAATACACCAGGGGGACCTTTTCCACTGCTTTGACCAGACAGTGGGCACAGAAACCTTTACTAAGCATTTTCTCTTATAAATTGATCCTATGTAGTCACAGGATGTTCCCCAAGACATTTAGACCAGACTAGAGAAGGATGCTGCTCAGTGGGCCATGTTGTGACAGACACAGGAACAGAACCAAGTCTTCTGTGCTAATACCCACAGACTTGGGGGTGGGCAGGCCCCTATCCTTTCATCTCTTGGTGGCATGTGCAAATGGGTAGCCTAGCACATGGAGGACTCTAAAAGCCAACCTGAGGCTGGGCTCAGTTGGTAGCATGCTTGCCTAGCATGCACCGAGTCCCAGGTTTGATCTTCGGCACCATATAAACCAAGTGAGGTGGTCTGTACATGTAATTGAAGCACCTGGGAGGTGAAGGCGGGAGATTCAGTTCAAGATCATTCCATGGTTGCACAGTGAGTTGGAGGACCACCTGGGATACACGAGAGCCTGTCTCAGACAGTGAAAAAGTTAAAGCCAGGTGCATGATTCTGTGGTCAGCCCCATGGGCTGTAGTTCTGCTCTACCTAGCTTTTTTTTCAGGGAAGGTAGATCTGAAAGGGACAGAGATATATAGTCATGAGGCTTCATATACTCAGGCAGTGCTATCCTTCACCCTTTGTGGGTACCTCTCAGCACATAGGGACAGGCTCTCAACAAAGCAGTCCTTGCCCATGTCCATAAGGAGTGTTTAAGCAGTATGGACCAGAAAGGAGTCATTGGCCACTCAGCAGGACTGTCCCTCACAAGTTGATTCCCCAGATCATCCTTGAATGTCCTCGTTGGAAGGCCTGATTTCACTAACAGCCATGCTGTGTAGCACATATGAGACCATCTCTGCCCCTGTGAATCTGGGAAGACTTCCTTTTAACTGTGTGAGACAGCCTTGGAGAGTCCAGGCACCCATCCCATCTAGATCCTACTCTCCAAGGCTTGACCAAATTCAGATTTCCTGAGTCCTTTCCCAGCACTACAGAACCCAGATAAACGTGTGTATGTGTGAATCTCATATGTGTCAGAGTACATGTGTCCATGTACGATATATATGTGCATCTGAGTGTATGTATATGTATGGGCTGTGTGCACATGAGTACACATTGTGGGGGTGTTGCGTACATGTGTAAGTGATGGGGGGAGGTAGCCACTGGAACCTGGACCATAATTTTTTAAACTAGCCAATGCCCATGTGAGACCTTTTGCAGATATCTGGGTTCTTTCTAGCCCTCCCCTCCAAGAACTCAGATACTTTAATGTCCCTGTTCATACAGGGCCCATTCTCACAAAATCTGCCCTCCAGATGCTCAGCAGTACCTTCCAGGGCTGGGGTACTGACAGCATACATACTCTGCACTTAAAGAGGTCATTGCATTTATTGTATGCCTGTGTCTTGAACTGTCCCCAGATAAGCCCACTGCTTATTTGGGAAAGGGTGTGTTTTTGCAGGGACAACATGGGCTCTTGGCATGTCCAGTCTTCCCTGAGCTCTGAGAGCACTGCGAGAAGTTCTAGTCCTTCGATATCACAGAGGATGCAGACTGAGGAGCAAGGAAGCCACGGGGACCAGCAGGGCCCCTATCTGGAGGTGGATGCTGGAGGCTTGTGAGTAGCCATAATGTGTCCTGCAGGAGCCGCCTAGCTCATCCAGGGGGATAGGCTCTTCCTCAGGAACTTGAATGTTATTGCTTACCTAGAGACAGACCCAAGTTAGGGAGCCTGCCTTGTGGGTGGGAGAAGGGCAGCAAACCCAAATGGCCACTTTCTCACCTGTTCAACTTCAGAGAAGACCCGCAGCAGGTTGTCGGATAGTACACCTCTGACCTCTGTGTCTGTCCAGTTCCTCCTGAGAAGCTCCGCTATCAGGTCTGGATACTTGGAAACATCCTCCAGTCCCTTGGGAAGCCTATGCCAAGACCAAGAGGACCACACATTGCAGACTGGACACTCTCCAGGCATATGAAGGCCAGATGATCAGGCTTGCAGCAAAATGCCCTGCACTGTGCTCAGGACACACTTCACCTCCTCTGTCCCATCAGCACATATCAACATAGAACAAGATGTCACTCTTACTCTGTAACGCCATCATAGTCTCCTCCAAGGCCCACAGCCTCAGCGCCTGCCACCTTCTTGATGTAGTCCAAGTGGTCTGTAGGGAGTAGCAGGTATGGGTCCTAAGCAAGGCCCTCCCCAGCTTGGTCACTGTGTGGTCATATCCACTTACCAGCCACTTGAGACAGGGTGGCATCATTTGAGCAGGACACAAACATACTGTAGAAGTTGACCATCACCAGACTCCTTGTGTTCTTCTGCTCAGAGAGGGGTAGGGAATGAAGGTTGAAGAGGGCCCGTAGGAGACAAGGGGCTCCCCTTCACTTCTCAGATTCCTTACCACCAGCTCAAGGATGTCATCGGGTACATTCCGCCTGTGTCGACACACGCTGTAGGCTGAGGAGTGGCTGAAGATGACCGGGGCCTTGGATAGCTGCAAAGCATCCCTCATGGTGTCCACGGACACATGGGACAAGTCAATCATGACACCCAGGCGGTTCAGCTCCTTCAGCACTCTCTGCAGGGAGACAGGATTGGGTACACCTCACAGACACTCTGAACTTGGGGCATGGGAGAGGCAGCACTGGATAGGTGTTAATTAGCCCTTAACTGGCTGGAGGTTGTGGGGTACTCAGGACCCAGCATTCTGAATGCTCAGGGGTGCCAACAGACTCAACCCTGGAAACGAGCACTGTTAGCTCCGTGTGACTGAGGAGAACACCAGAATCCACTGAGGTGTGACACTGCGCTGGAAACCTTCCTAGCCCTCTGTCCTTTGGGAACTGTGGTCCTTCCCCCTCACCTTCCCAAAATCCGACAGTCCTTGGCTCTCAGCTTCATCATCCCCTCTGTCCACCAGCCAGTTGTCAGACCTGAAGAGAAATACACCTGTGTCCAGGGAGCAGGTCAGGAGTGTCACCCTCACCTGCCTAGCTAACGGCCTGGCCTGGAGCTCAGGAGAGTTCTGGGCATGAGTGAGGTCACGTTTGGTCTCCCCTTCTTACCCCATCCCAGGGCCTTCACAGAGGGACCCCTTACCAGGGTGTGTTGCAGTTGTGGGTGAGGGTCAGGTACCGCATGCCCAGATGGTAGAGCGCCCGCAGGACACCCAGGCTGCTGTCAATTAAGTGGCCACCTTCCACACCGATCAGGCTGGCCACTTTCCCCTCCTGGAAAGCCTGTGTGATACCTGCAGAGAACAAAGGGAAGGTTGGCACTAAACATTCGGGATTCCAAGGCCCACCCTCTACTAAAGACCATGCCTGGCAGGAGGGCATCAGGGCCTTGGTGGGACACTACCTGAACTTTTGGTAACACACAAGAAGGTCTCAGGGTAGAGTTGGCACATGCGGTGAATGACATCCATCTGTTCCAATATCCTTTTCACAGCGTCTTTGTTTTGGGTGTCACAAGGCAAGTATGCGGACCAGAACTGGGGGACCAAGAGGAAGAGCTGATAGCCCAGACCACTGATATCTGAGCCTACCCCAGCGTACATGTGGGTCTTCTCTCCTGCCCCTTTGGAAGCCCTGGGGGCTGGTCCAGATAGGTGTGCCCTGCCAAGGCCTGTAGCCCAGGGGCCCAGGAGGCATGCTTCTCTAACACAGGCCAAACCTAGACAGTCCCACAGGGAATATAGGGGAGACCCCAGTACAGAACAGATGGGAGAGCAAAGGATGTACCTGGCCCCCCACAAAGCCAGCCTTCAGCTTCGGGATGTTGGTATGTGTCCCGGCCAGTGTGTTCAAGTTGGCCTCCGAGTCGTTCAGCCTGTTGTTGAACAACTTCAGCAGTTGCCAAGGCAAGTCGTTGTGACTGGAGGGAGGAAGGGTCCAAGGTGGATTAGGAAGTCTGCTTGGGCCTGTCGGCTTCTGAGCCAGCTGGCTTCCAGACTGCCCTCCTCCAGTTCAAACTACCACGGCTCAAGACTATCATGCAGACCTCAGAGGTGGAACACCTCTGCTTTGACTACACCTGCACACAGGTGAAATTCCCAATTGCACTCCAGGCCAAGTGACCATGAGGTGAGTATGGCTAGGCTGGCCTTCTTATGCACCCCCACCTCAACCCCCAGGCAGGAGGAGAGGACAGACACCCACTCTGCTGCAAAATCACCTGGGGCTGGGGGCTGGGAACCAGTGCAGGTAGCTTATAGGAATATGACATTTTCAGTTCAAAGATTAAATTTGCCCCTTGAAGGAAAGCCGTGACATATAGGGAGTAGCCTAGTCTCCATCCTTCTGGGGAGTGAGGCGTCACTCACAGGATTCGGGCTTGTCTTTGTCTCTATTCCTATGGCAAACCCCAGCTCGCCTTTGGCCAGTTCATCTCTGACTCCAAAGGGCTCTGGGTTCCAAGGAGTTGCAAGTGCTTTCACGGAGGAAGGAGAGGGCCAACAGCCAGTACCTGGGCTAGCACAAGGGCTTTTTGTCACCTCTGCCTATGCTGCCACAGAACCTGAGCTGTCAGTGAACTTCAGCAGAGTCCTCGAGCAGCCAGGGCAGGCTCACTGGAGTCGAGGCTCAGGCCCGGGAGAGCGCTTGCCACAGATCTGCACCTTGCTGGTTTGCATGCACAGGACAGCTGAGGAGGCATCCACAGCTGCCATCAGTCCTGTGGCTGCAGCCTGTGTTAGCTGGGCCCTCGAGGCCCCTGTAAGGTGGGCAGAGAACAGTCGCCCCTCCCCAGCCCTGGCTTTGTCCTCATTGTCCACTCCTATCTCCGATCTTAGTTCCTTTTTCCCACACCTAGGCTTCCGTATCTGTAACATGGGGTACCTTGGTATCCTCCCCAGAGAGTGTATTATTAAGGTAAATAAGTAACGATTAATGTAGTCATTTGGATCTGTCCGAAGAAATGCTTTGTTGGGCATCTTCATTCTTGTTTTTTTGTTTGTTTGTTTGTTTTTCAAGACAAAGGGTTTCTCTGTGTAACAGTGCTAGCTGTCCTGAAATTGGCTCTGTAGACCAGGCTGGCCTGGACCTCACAGAGATCTGCTTGCCTCTGCCTCCCAAGTGCTGGGATTAAGGTTTGTGCCATCACTCCTCAACAAGTCTTCATTCTTATAAGAGCTTCTATAAAAACAGGACAGCTATCCATCACTAGGTAATGTCATAAAGGCCTCACTGAGGCACACATACACAGTCCCTTATCCAAATGTCATTATGAAACACATACGTTTTTTTGAGGGATAGTCTTTTTTGAGACAGGGACTTACTATGTAGCCCTGGAGAGCCTGAAACTCTCCATGTGGCCCAGACCAGCCAAAAATTTTCTGTGATCTTCAAGCCTTCTACATGTTGAGATTACAGGCTTATGCCATTGTACCAGTCTGTTTGTTGTTTTATTATTATCTAGATTGATCTATTTCATTTTATGTGTATTTTATTTTTTGTTAGCATGTATGTTTGTGTGTGTATCATGTGTGTGCCTGGTGCCCACAGAGGTGAGAAGAGGGCACTGGATCACCTGGAACTGAATTTACAGATGGCTGTAAGCTACTATGTGGGTGTTAAGAACCGGACCCCCAAGCCAGGCAGTGGTGGTGCACGTCTTTAATTTCAGCACTCAGGAGGCAGAGAAAGGCAGATCTGTGAGTTCAAGGCCAGCTTGGTCTATAGATCAAGTTCTAGGTCAGCCAGGGCTGCACAGAGAAACCCTTCCTTGAAAAACAAAACAAAAAAAAATTTAATAAAAAAAATGACCCCTGTGTCCTCATTTCATTCGGTGGCATCTCTCTCTCCATCCGTCCAGGAGTACTCCATAAACAGGAGTAAGAAAATTGAGAAGTGGCGTCAGGAACTGTTGGAGAAGTAAAGCCCTAAACCCAAACCAGATCTGTTCAAAGGGATTGGCCAGGAGCATTTCTTCAAGAAGATTGAAGCCGCACACTGCCTGGCCTGTGCCGTGCTGATTCCTGCATCGCACCAGCTCCTCCAGCGGCATCTGCACTCTGTGGACCATAACCATAACCGAAGGTTGGCTGCTGAGGAGTTGGAGAAAACAAGGCTCCATGTGGCTAAGAGTGTTTTAAACAACAAACATAGAGCGAAGATGCTGGAAAAGTACCTCAAGGGGGAGGAGGATCCTTTTGCCAATGAAACATTTGATCTTGAGACCGAAGGAGATGAGAATGTAGGAGGAGAGGAGAAGGAGGAGACACCAGAGGAGGTCGCTGCAGAGTCTTAGCAGTGAGAGCGGTCGGGCGAGGGTAAGGAGAGCCAGCTGCAGAGCATGATGAAGTCCTAGCTGAAGTGGAAGGCTCTGTGGACACAGCGGAGACCAGTAGTGACCTGCCGCACACTGAAGAGATGCTGGAAGAGCAGACCTGCGAAACAGCATCTGAAAATGGGAACACCGAAGACAAGGCCCGAAGAGAGGCCGCTGAGGCCAGAAATGAAGCGGTCATGGCAGCAGCAGAAGCAGAGAGCACCATACCTGTTACAGCTATCCCAGGAATCCTGGATGATGAAGGGGACAAATTGATGTGGACTCTACAGATACTCCCACAGAGTGACCCTTTCTTCCCTGTTTCAAGGGATGAGTTATCTCTTTGGTTTATAAGCAGTACTAGGGTGTGTGTTATTTGGTGGAAAGACAGCCATTTCCTTCCCAATGTACCTCAAGGGCTGATGCTACACAGTGAATGGCTTCCCACCTCTGTTAGAATACAAAGAGGTAAACCATTTTCCCAAGTGGCCTTTGGTGGCTCTGTGTGCTGCAGTTAGAATAATAAAAGTAGATCTTCCTGATATTTGGTTAAAAAAAAAAATGACCCAAACCCCAGACCTCTTCAAGAGCAGCAACTGCTCTTAACCACTGAGCCATCTCTCTAACCCCCTTATTTGTATTTTCTTTTTTATTTGTTTGTTTTTGTTTTTCAAGACAGGGCCTCTCTATGTAGTTCCAATTGTCTTAGAACTCTGTAGACCAGGCTGGCCTCAAACTTCCAGAGATCCACCTGCCTCAGCTTCCTGAGTGCTGGGATTAAAGACGTGTGCCGCTGTGCCTAGAGTTGTTTGTGTTTTTAAGCAGGGCCTTTCTATTAACCCAGACTGGACATGAGCTCATTCTGGAATCCAGGCTGGCCCTATGCCTGCAGTGAGTGACCCTTTAGCCTCAACCTCCCAAGTGCTGGGATTACAAGTGGATGCAGCTACACCCAGCATCATGTGACAGTTGACTTAGGTTTGTGACCAAGTACTAGGTCACCTTCCACCAGTTCTCCTTCACCCTGACCCCATCCACTCCCAGTAATGGCTTTTCCAGAGCCAGCCAATCCAGGAAGCTCCTTTGGAAAGCTCAGGGAATGTGCCCTTCCCTAGGGCTGGTGCCCAAGCCATCCCTCAGCAAAGGGATACACAAGCTTTAGTCTCCGCATGTGAAGATCACTCCCAGAAGAAGGTCCGGGATGGGCTGGACTGCCTTCGTCCCTCTTACCCTTTGCACTTGGCACAGATTTATTATGATACACTTACTGTATGGATAAATGAATGGGTATGGGCCAGCCAAGGCAGCCTTGCCAGCTCTCTGAGACAGGGCTAGGCAGGCTCCAGGAAGAGGACTTTAATCTTTTGCCTGAGGACACTTACAGCCTACCTAAGAAAGTCATCTCCATCATGGGGGCTGGGAAGGGGTAGAGCACTTGAATGGGGCTCTACATACCTCAGGAGCCCCCTGCCATACTTGGAAGCACTCTGCCCTCTTTCCTCATCCCCTCTCTACCCTCTTTGGGAAGACAAAATGGGACCACAAGACTCCTGTCTCAGAGGGAACAGAGCCACCTCCGCCAGGTCAAACTGCAGCTCTAGCCTCTGTGTGCCTCAGGGATCAAGGGTGCACGGGTGCCGGTGGGAGGTCCATTAGAGTCTTCCACAATAACGCAATGGAGAGTGATTGACCGGCAGGGGTAGGCAGATATGATAGCTAGAAGTAGAGTGACCATGCTTCGGCCGGGAGAGGACAGATGGTAAGGAGCTGGTAAAAGGTCTTCAAGCAATGTCAGAGGGATCAGGCAGTGTGAACTGGACATGTGGGACATCTCCACATGCAAGGAACAAGAGAGGCACTGGCATTTGGCATTTGGCTGGGCACGAGATGGAGGAGAGCTGGAAGGATTGCTCAAGAGGGCCTTACTGGGGTAAAGCCACCCTCAGCTTTTCAGCTGAGACTCAAGTAGGGGGCATGGATCGTTCCCTCAGACATATGACTAGAGAGTTGGGAGACCTCAGAATCCCCCAGACACAACCAAAGTCGGAGCTTCAGGAGCCCTGGGAGCCGGTGCCGGGATGTTAACTCCTTCCTTCCCTGCCCTCTTTTGATGAAACCTTTTAGGTCCTAAGACTCTCCACCAAGAAGCTGAAGCCAGAAGACAAGAACCATGGTACAATAGGGAAACTGAGTCCCCAGCAGAGGTGTGAAAGCTTCTGGCCCTTTCAGGCACCAAAATAGGTAGCCACTCACCCATCAACGACCGGTGTGATCTTCATGATTTCCTCTGCCTTGTTCCGGAATGAGTCGGAAGCACAGATGGCCAGAAGAGGCCAGAGCCACCAGATGATCAACATTACAAGGTCCCCAGGGATCTCCTTCCACAGCTGCCTTGGCACCCCTGTGATAGCCTATACACAGAAAAAGAAAAAAAACACACCTGTCTAAGGGCCAGATGGAGCTGCTGTGCCTGTCAGGAGAAAAGACACAGGCCTTTGGTCCAGGTAATTAAGACTATGAGTCCTGTTTATGACACCCAGTGTTCAATGAGTAACCACTCCATTCCCTTTCAGGATAGGGAGCAGACAAGCCCATACCAGGTGTTGCTGTCTTGGCTAGGCAGAGGTATGAAAAGACACCGGGACTCCAGACCCTGGGAGGGGCTCCAAAGGGGCTCGCACAAGGCAGTTTCTTGTCATCTAGCCTGCTGGAACATCTGATCCCGGAGGCTTGGTACCTTTATGCAGACCTGCCCTTTGGGGCCAGTTCACTGAAAGTGCCTGAATTCTGACAGGCCAGGATTACAGCATCCACTAAAGGTCCTCCTGATGCCTACCCTCCTCCAGGCAATATCTGGTACTTCCTTTGCCCCTGGCCCTGAGAAGAAAGGTCATTTCTGAGGCAGGTGCCCGGGCCCCTGGGCCTCAGTTTCCTTCCTGTTGACAGCACCTCAAATGGTTGTTGGGGAGACTGGGTCAGGTAGCACCTATCAATGTACCTCATCACTGGAGAAGAGCCACATTTATGTCATCTGCCGAGTTCCCACTGTCTCTTGGCAAAGAGGCCCCAAGAATCCTTAGTACCAGGACCCTATACAGAAAGTGCCACTGTCCGTGTACCTCTGTGGTATCTGAGTCATCCTAGGTGTCCACACACACGCTACCCCACTGACCCGTTGCAGACAAGAGGGACGTGGAGGCCTCCTGCTCTGATAGCTGCCACAGTCCCTGGGCTTGCAATGTGATCTGTGTCTGTGTTTTAAGGCTATTGGGTGGGGGAGGGGGACAGGAAAGAACTTGCAGGGTAAGATCCTGCCTGAGGCTGGACTGGAACTCACTTTTTACTCAGACTGGCATGAAACTTCTAGTGATCCTGCTGCCTTAGTCTCCCAAGTGCTGACATTACAGCCGTGCACCTCCACACCCCAGGCTTTCACTACGTTTTCCAAGTTATTGTTCCTTCTTCAACCCCTACAACTAGCCTGTTCATTTTTTTGTTACTCCCTTGCTAGCATTTTCTCTCCTTGTTTAGCAGGCTTACATAATCCTGTGTACCTTGCAGAATCCTTAGTGCCCACATCATGGTCCACCACATCCCTTTAGGAACAGTACACCGTGGATTCATTTGCTTCCTCCTCTTATTTTCTCTTCTGGTATTTTGCTTGTCTGCAATTCTTCTTCAGGTAAAGTCTCCTGAAATACTGTTGTCAGGTCTGCGTTCTCATCCTCACTGAATGAGCCTGTCGGCCCCTCCCCACTGCTTCCAGCACCACAGTGTAGTGTCTGGACCATTCTGGAAATGCTGTTTGAGCTCTGGGTCTCCACACCTGGGAGCATCTCTTTATGATGCTTCCCCAGGAAGGACCGAACCTTCTGTTAGACCTGCCTGGCTCTTGGTTATGCACGTCTTCCCATGTGTGAATTCATATTTGTTGTTGTTGAGACGGTCTTGTGTCCCTAGGACTGGCACTGAACTCTTTTTGTTGTTGTTGTTTTGTTTTTGAGACAGGGTTTCTCTGTGTAGCCCTGGCTGTCCTGGAGTCACTCTGCAGACCAGGCTGGCCTGGAACTCAAGAGTTCTGAGTGCCTCTGAATACTCTGCCTCCTGAGTGCTGACAAAAAAGGCGTGCACCACCATCGCCTGGCTTGACCTTGGACTCTTAGCCTTCTGGCCCCGTCACCCAAGTGCAGGATTATACAAGTACACCACCGCACCCATCTTGGATTGTTAAAAACTACTTTTCAATTTTCTCCTGTCATCCTTGTATTGGTTTAAAAGCCCTAAAAGGGCTGGGGAATGTTGCTCAGTGGTATATATAGCATTTGCCTAGAACATATAAAGCTAGGGTTCAGCTTCAGGTGCAGAAAACACAAAAACAAAATAGTGTGGCCTTGTGGGCTTCCAGTTCAAATCTTGGGTTCCTATACTGTTGGTCCATTCAGAATCTTATCAGCTGGTCAGTTTTTCAGCCTCAGCGTCTTTGAGAAGTCATTGTTTTATCTCCTTATGGACAGGAAAAGTTAGACAATGGTTCTCAGCCTCACGCTGCGACCCTTTGATGCAGTCCCTCAGGCTGTCGCGACCCCCACCATGAAGTTATTTTCCATGATGCCTCGTAGCTATAATTCTGCTATTTTTATGAATTGTAATATAAATAACTGAGATGCAGGATATCTGATATGAGACCCCTCGTTTGTAAGACCTTGTCTTTACAAACTGTGTCTTACTCTGTGTTCTGAACTTCTGATTGTCCCGCGCTCTCCCACTGGGTGCTGTTCTCACAGTCTTCCAGTCTCCTGATACTCCAGTCTCCTCTCACCACCTAGCTCCCTTCTTCCCTCCCAGACGCTCTCATCTGACTTTGCCTCCTTCGGGATCCCTGGCCGCCAGCCGGGAGCCTACAGCTTCCACTTACCATCTGCACTTTAACTGTTCCTCCTCTTTGGCTTACTTAGTTAGGACTAGTCCTCACAACATTCTCTAGCAGCGGGTGTGTAGGGGCTCCATCTCTGAGCTTTTACAAGCCTGCATTATGTCTATTCAGCTTTCACACCAGGTCAACAGTTTTGCTCGATGTGCAGTTCTGGGGTGTAAATCATTTCCCCATGTCTTGAAGGCTCTGCAGTCTGTCTCACTTGAACTTTTGGTAGGAACAACATCAGATCAGCTGATACAGAAATAATAACTTATTACTCTAGTTCTTTGTAGATAGCATGCTTTTTCTTCTCTGGACATTATCACCTCTTCATCCTGACAGTTCTGTGATTTCTCAATGAATGACATGCTTTTGAGTCTTTCTTTCTTTTTTTTTTTAGACAGGGTCTCCTGTATCTTCCAACTCATTAATTGAGAGTGACCTTGAATTTAGGATCTTTTAGCCTCCTACTGCTCAGTGTGGGATTACAGGTATGTGCCAACACACCTGGTTTATGAGGCACTGGGAATAGAGTCCTCGAGCTTCATGTGTGCTAGGAAAGGACTCCTCCAGTTGAAGTACATCTCTAGCTCCCCCTTTTATGGACATGTTCATTTGTACATATGTTATACTTTGTTCGTATTTGCCCCCATGCCTCTCCCAGCCTTCTTTTCACCTTTCTTGTGGGTGTGTCTATGTGTAGGTGTGTATGTGTTTGTGTGTATGCAGGTACACATGTGTGTGCAAGTGATGTAGCCTACAAGGCTAGACCATTTCGTTTTTGGAGTGAGTGAAGTGGAACCCTGGCTTCGTGCATCCGAAGCCAGAGGCCAGCCTTTTTTGAGAAAGGTCTCTCACTGGTGTTGTTCCCTGGGAACGGGATTTTCGAGATGGATCTCTCACTGGGACCTGGGGTTTACTGATTTGGCTAGGCAGGCTGGCCAGTGAGCACCAGTGAGCTGCCTGTCTGTGATTCTCTCACACAGTGTTTTATGTGAGGGGTAGGGATCAAACTCAGGTCCTCATGCTTATGTGGCAAATAGTTTACCTATTGAGCCGTCTCCCCACACCCTGCTTTTCATTCTGTGGTGGTGACTTGGCTGGCCTTGGCCTTGAACTTTCAGTCCTCCTACCTAGGCTCACACCCCATGCCCTGCCTTGTTTCAGGTTTTCGTGTGACTGTGTGTGTATGTGTTTCTTTTTCTGTGACCTTGGGTGACTTCCTCCCTTTATCGCCATGTTTGACTTCAGAAATTATATATCCAACTTCCCAAGACTGCCTTCGTGCTCTTCCCCTTGGCATTCTGCTCTGGTTATGAAAGCCACATCCGTCTGCAGCAACACTATTTTCTTTCGTTCCCTTGGTTTACTGAATGAACTCCAGCCTCTGTTTTCCTGTTTTCTGGACCTTCCATTGATTGCACTGACCGCATTCCATGACCAGCTGGCAATCCCTGTTGCTCCCTTCTTGAGGTTTAAGGCGAGAGCCAAGTGGGCTGGGCTGGGCTGTGTGGGCTCCTTCTCAATTTCGGCTTAAATGCAACAAAAGGAGTCCACCACAACAACAGCGCCCTTAAAGTGAGCCAGAAACACTGTTGAGAAAGGCTGTCCTGGTTCTGGAATATTTCTGTCTCAGGGATGTCTCTTAATATTTTCCTTCTTCCTTGACTGGGTTATAGTTCTCTCTGTCTGTCTCTGTCTCTCTCTCTTTCTCTCTCTCATCTCATCTCTGGCATTTCCAGAATCCCAGTGTCAACCAACTCCAACTTCAGCTATCTGCACCATCTCTGCTGGGTTGGGGAGCCTCCCTTCAGTCAGTCTGTAAACACTCTCCACAGGGCTCAACCCTTCACAGATTTCCTCCCTCACATCTCTCCTTCCCACTGTGTGCTGTGACCTTTGCCTTCTGACCAACCCTTTCTGCTCTCCTGGTATTGCAGATTCTTCTGGAATTTTTCCCTTCCTTCCTCTTGATGGTTAAAAACAGGAGGCTTTACACATATCCCACTGATACCTCCTAGAGGATTCAGTGGGAATAGGAGCTGGTACTATGTTTGTTTCTGTTTTGACTTGGTGTGGGGTGACTTTTTTTAAATTTTGTTATGTTTAGTTTGGTGTTTTGTTGTTTTTAAAATAGGATCCCATTCTGCAGCCTAGGCTGGCCTTGAACTCTCAGTGATCTCAGTCTTAGCCTCCCAGGAGCCAGGATGACAAGCCTAAGTCTCACATGGTAGTGTGTCTGTTCTTAATTGCTATTTCTTCCACTGGTCCGAATGTCATGCATGGGAGGGTCTCCGGTGCCCTCACGTTCTTGACTGGCCTAGATGCTTCCCCATGGAAAGATCCAGGACCTGACCGGGCGGCAGCATTCTGGAGTGTGTTTGGCCTGATTCCATACATAGAATCACTACAGGAAACAGGTACAGGCATTCGGAGCACCAG